TAATAATAATAATAGGTTATTTCAGCCCCTGGTTCACAACACACCCCTGGAAGAATCAGCCTGACTCTTCTTTGGGAAATAGATCCCTGGAAAACCAATTTCAGCAGCTGCCAAGTGCTGATGGAGGGTCACAGACATCACCTGTGCTCACCTCTCCTGCCCAGGTGCCTTCCCCCTCAGATTGTCGTACATATCACAGATCTTCTGCTTCCTCTCTCCCATCAGGGCCGGCCGCTCGCCTTCCAGGCTCAGGAGGTAGCGTCTCTCGTAGTCCTCCACGTCCAGGAGGAGGCTGTATGTCTGCAGGAGAGCCCATGATCACAGCTGGGCATGGAGATCCTGCTCCACAGAGATCCAGACCCCAGGCAGAGCCATCCCATCCCCTCTGCTGCTGCAGGAACCACATATCCTGGCCCAGACCATGTCAAAGCTTCCTTCAAACCCAGCTTGAGAGCAGAGTGATCAAGCTTGTCCCCAGCTGCATGTCCAGAGGAGTTAATAACTGCACTGTAATGTCCTTGGCTACTCCTTCACCCCAGCCCACCTCATGCCCCACCACAGATCTCTGATGGTCACAGCAATCCCCCCTCAAACTCACCTTCTCGATCGTGACAAGCGTCTGGCGTCTCTTGTCTCGAACCTGCTTCTCCTTCGTCTCCTGCCCAGGGAGGGAGAGCGAGTCAGGGCCTTGGGCAGGTCCCACCCTGGCCTGAGCAGCAGCCCCAGAGCCGTGCTGGAGGGGAGGCAGGGCCAGGACTCACGTCATCCTCGCTGCGGGAGGTCACCACCGCGTCGATCATCTTCCGGGGGTTGTTGACGCTGGAGACCGTGAGTTTCCCGAGCGAGCCCTCAAACTGCACTGCAGGAATTGGGGAGAAGGGAAGCAAAGGGAGTCAGGTTGGCTCTGAACCCACATTTCTCCTCATCTCTGCTTCAAAATTAGCCCTGTGGCTACTTCCAAACTGCCTCTGGTACTGGTGAGACCTGGTGTCCCAGCCTGGTATGAGCCACCAGCTCCCGTCACCCGCAGAGCTCAGGGCTGTGTGGAGGAAGGAGAGTTTACCTGGCTTGTAGGTGTGCTCCAGCTTGGCCACCTGAGGTGTGATGAGTTTAGTGCGTTCCTTCTTAGGAGCATCACCCTGGACTTCCTCTGCTGCTGCTAATTTCTCCAGCTTCTGGAAGTAATTCTGAGGTGGGGAGATAAGAGATGGAGACTCTCAAAGAAAAAACCCAACAAACCCAGTGGGCAAGGACTGATGGAACATGTCCCTGCTCTGTCCCTCACTGCTCTTCCCAACACAGCAGCACCATTTTAAACCACTTTTTTTTACCCCAAGAACACCACTGCATCCTCCTCCATCATCCCTGGAGATCACAGAGGTCAGGATTCCTCCTCAGCACTCTTTCTCAATACAAACACTGACGAATCCGCTTTCCCTGCCAGGTCCCCAGCTCCCAGTCCTTCCCAGTTAGCCCACCTCGCTCTGCCAGCACTGTGCCCAGGCTGGGGCCTCCCACACCAGGTTGCTCACGTGTTTTTCCCCCCCATCCACCCCGACCAACGTTCTCTCCTCTTTCGCAACGGCGGCCGCACCAGTTCCTCTCTTCTACTGGGGATCAACTCACCCACAGCTCCCAAAAAAACCCACCCCAAACCCCTGTGTCAGCACGGTGCCTCCTGCCAACCCTGGAGCAGACTGGCTGCAGCTCTCCTGCCAGCTCCCACCAGAGCCCAGACAATGTGTCCCCATCACGGAGGGGACAGGATCACTCTGACCCATGTCACCACACTGGTGGCCTCCCTCCCTGCTCTGGAACCTTTCTGGGTGCATGGCTGGCTCCTCAGCACCCCAAGACAGGGGCCAAACCCCTTGCACAGCTGAGGACACCCCCAGATACACACCCAGCCACCCCACAACCCTCCACAGATCTCCCTCAGGTGAAGTTGCCCCGTGTACCCTCAAACCCAGCTGAGCTCTGAGCATCTACTGCCGTCAGCAGGAGCCCAGCCCTCACCTCGCTCTGGCTGCTCCAAATCTCCCAACCCTGGTGCTCTAAGCTCCCTGGTTTTGCCCAGTGCTCCCTATTTTTGAACAGGAAAAGAGCAGGAGAAGTCTCTCCCCATCCACCTTCTCCTCCACGCTCTTTGGACCCCACAGGCTTCACCACCAGCACCCCCTGTCAGACTGGAGTCCTTCTCAGTTCCCTGCCCAGGGCTCTCTCCTGCATTTTCCATTTAGCAGCTTCCCTGTCTCCCATTCTGGGTGTTTTATTCTGTCACCATCACATGCAGCTTCTGAATATGCCACTGCCAGTGTCCCCCAGCATCTCCTCACTCCTGGAGATCTCTCCCAGGAACAGGAAGGCAGCTCTTCCCTCACTACTGTCCCGCTTCCCTTCCCACAGAGCTCATCCCACCCCATCACAGAACCCCAGAATGGTTTGGAAGGGACCTTAAAGCTCATCCAGTCCCAACCCCCCTGCCAGCAGCAGGGACACCTTCCACTAGACCAGGTTGCTCAAAGCCTCATCCAGCCTGGCCACAAACACTTCCAGGGAGAAGCAGCCACAGCTTCTCTGGCCAACCTGGGACACTGGCTCACCACCCTCACAGTGAAGAATTTCTTCCTCATATCCCATCTCAATCTACTCTTGTCCACTTTCAAGCCATCACCCCTTGTTCTGTCACTCCCTGCCCTTGGCCAAAGTCCCTCCCCAGCTTTCTTGTAGGCCCCATCCCTCCACCAGCACGTTCTCCATGACTGGATCTGCATCACTCCTGCCACTTCCATCCTTTCCCCACCCAACACCCCTTGACACCAATCCCACGGGACGGTTACGGTGCTGCCCTGCTGCAGAGCAGTGAGCTGAGTGATTCCCCTTCCATGGTACCTGGTAGTAATAATCATCCAGGTAGGGATCAGTGCTCTGCAGCTGCATCATCTGGATCTTGGACACCCAGTCCTTTTCCCGTTGCAACATCAGATTAGAGTAAGGATCTTTCCGAATCTGCTCCTGGTGATTGCTCCGGTGACCCCCTCGATCCCCTACTGAGCCGTTAAGACTCCGGTGCTGGCTGGCAGGAGGCAAGAAGGGAACCCGTGAGCACACAGGAGCTACAGGAAGGGACAGAGAGAGGTGCACAGGCTGGCCCAGGCAGCACAACCCCCCGGGGGTTGGAGGGGTGGTGCAGTCCGAGGCGGCGGCGCGGGGCCAGCACTCACTTTCGGTTCTGTTGTTGCCGTTGGTGCAGGAGCCGACGGTGCTGGGGGTGTAGGTGGGTGGTGTCAGGTCGGAACATTTGAGGTTGTGGCCTAGGGAAGAGTGAGAAGGCTCAGAAGTGGTTGTAGAGAAGGAGCAGAGAGGTGGGAGAGGGATGGCACCTACCTCAGGTTCTGCAGGTGGGATCCAGGGCCCGGCGGGTGCTGCGGTTGTGAGGGAGGTGGAGCAGGGGGAGCCCCAAAAAAGGCACGAAACCCACTGGCGGGAGACATCATCTGCCCGACTCTGCCCTGGAGCAGTTTAGGATTGACGGAGGGGAGGGGGCTCCCAACCAGGCCAGACACACGGGCAAATTGGCTGGGGGACATTCGACCAGCCTGGCAGGGCAGAGAGGGCACCCAGAGTCAGGTGGAGGGAGATTTTGGATGGCAGCCACGGCTGGGACGGCTGGAAAAAGTCAAGTAGAGCCAAATCCTGCAGCCAGGCAAAGAGAAATGTGGGATCCTGCCCTTGGAGGGTCCAGGAAGGGACAAAGGGGCTTTACCTGGGCTCCTCCAAGCAGCTGCGCTCTCTGCAGGGGGGTGAGGACAGGAGAGACGCTGTGAGGGAACGGGTGGCCCAAGAGGGAAGAATTCTGGGGAAAAAGAAGGGAAAAGGGACCTCAGTCACAGCCAGGGAGCAGGTGACACTGCAAGATGAAGCCCTAGGAGGTGCCCCAGCTCCAGGGTGAGGGGTTGACCCAGCAGGATGAGGTAAACGGGCTGAGCTTTGGAACTAGAGACAAACCAGCAGGCAGCTGTGTGTGACAGTGACAGATCCAGCGTCACCAGGGCCCAGAGATCCAGGTGGGAGGAAGGAAAAGGGGTGTTGAGGGAGTTCTGGGAAGATCTCCCAGTAATGAAGCCTTGAAATCAACACCCAGGAGGAAGGGTGCAGAGGGGAGCAGGTACCGGGACGTTGCAGAGCTGGTTGGGGGACATCCTCTCGCCGTAGGGAGCGGGGTAGCGCTGCTGCATGGGAGCTCGGATGTGGACAGGCTTTGGACACAGGATCTAGGGGGGAGAAAAGCAGCACAGTCCCCTCAGTCACCTCCTTGGGGACCAAACTGAGCTGGGGACAACATGTGGGGTCAAGGGGAAGGTACCTGCTGGTTGAAGTTGGGCAGAGCTGCCTGCTTGGGAGGGGTGCCGATGGGGACAGCCCGGACAGGGGGGCTCCCGATGACAGGGGAGGATGAACGCCGGGGTAACGCTCGCTCCGAGGGGTCTCGCTCTTCCTCTCGAGCTTGTGGGGGTCTCTGAGGCAGAGCATAGTCCAGCACGGACACCGATGGCATCTCCTGCAAGTGACACAGTGACACATCCCCCCCAGGATCACAGTCACAGACTGGTGGGGACAGGCACTGTGTGTCCCAGGATGTGACAGCCACATCCTCCCTCCTGCCAGCTCTCCTCTGCCCCCCCCTGCGCTTCCCCAGCAGCCCCACGCCACTGCCAAGACACCCAAAAGTGGTGACAACGCTGCCTGAGCGCGGGGTGACAATGCTGTGTCACTCCTGTGTCCACTGTGGGCACACGCTCATGGGGTGACAATGCTCCATGTCACTCCTGTGCCCACTGCAGGCACACTCTTGTGGGGTGACAACACTGTGTCACTCCTGTGCCCACTGTGGGCACACTCTTGTGGGGTGACAATGCTCCATGTCACTCCTGTGCCCACTGCAAGCACACTCTTGTGGGGTGACAACACTCTGTGTCACTCCTGTGCCCACTGTGGGCACATGCTCGTGGGGTGACAACACTCCGTGTCACTCCTGTGTCCACACTCATGGGGTGACAATGCTGTGTCACTCCTGTGCCCACTGCAGGCACACTCTTGGGTGGTGACACCACTCCTGTGCCCACTGTGGGCACATGCTCATGGGGTGACAACACTCCGTGTCACTCCTGTGTCCACACTCATGGGGTGACAATGCTGTGTCACTCCTGTGCCCACTGTGGGCACACACTCGCTTCCCAGAGCTGGGAGAGAGTTGGCAAAGCAGCATTTAAAGCCTGACAGCTTAATTAAACCACAACAAATTAACAATTAACCCCAAAAAATCTGCTCTGCCTTGAGGCAGCGACACTCCCACAGCCTGACGGGAGCAGTGACATCACCAGGTACCGGTGACAACGTCCTCCAGCCTCCGAGGGGGTTTGAGGGGCGTTAGAACCCCAGAGCCCCAGACTGGTTTGGGTTGGAAGGGACCTTAAAGCTCATCAAGTCCCAACCCCCCTGCCAGCAGCAGGGACCCCTTCCACTAGACCAGGTTGCTCAAAGCCTCATCCAACCTGGCCGAGAACACTTCCAGGGAGGGGACATGAAGCCACCACAGCTCCCACCCCCACCTGGGCACCGTACCTGAGTGAGGAGCGGCCCCCGGATTCGCCTCAGGACGGCTGAGCTGTCCCAGATGGAGGAATTCAACCCTCCAGGCTGCTGGGAAAGCGACGGGGAAGAATCAGCCCAGAGCCGCTCACCCCGCAGCCCCCACACCCACCCCAGCCCC